TAGTGCAGTCTAACCCAGAAGTTGTTAACCCTTTGCCATACCTGCTGCTTCCACACGAGTGTGTCTGTCTGAGGTTCCTGGATGTCATTTGAGGCCATCTAAACAGATCAGTCCCCGAGAACTTCTGCAGCAGTGTCTTTTCCTTTATATCCACCATGCCCTTTATCACCCTTAAGGGTGGGTTGTTTGCAGTACAAGGAATTGAACCAGTGCTCATACACTGAGCTACATCCCCAGCCCCTTTAAAATTGTATTTTATTTTTGAGTCAGGATCTCACTGTCTTGCTTGGTTTGGTCCAAACTTGTAATCCTCCGCTTCAGCCTGCCAGAGTGCTGGGATCACTGTTGTGTGCCACCAAACCCAGACATATTGATAATCTGGTCGTTGTGTTTCCTCTGCCATATCCCAGGCCCCTGACACCAGGGCCCCCACACAAATGTTTGGGTCCCAGTAAAAATTCCTAACTGGTGGGGTTGCAGGTAGCCGTAATTCAGTGTGAGCAAGCCTCACCCCTGCTGTGCCTACCAACTGCTGTTATCCTGCAAGAGGTCAGAGTGGCGATGTCACCGGCGCAGGCCACACTGCCTGCTCCATGGAGGTGCCCAGTAAGGGATCAATCCTGTTCTGTCCCCACAGGGCCCCTAGCAGGCAGCAGGATACCCAGAAACGCTTGTACTAGGGACTTGGACGTCCAACCCTATTCCCTGTCCCCATTCGGTGCGCTCGGTCCCTTAACGCCTTCTGCTCCTCAGCCCACAGGAAATGTGTGGATGACCCACGAGGAGATGGAGTCCCTGACAGCCGCGACGAAGCCCGTGAGTGACCCCTGCCGGCGGCTGAGGGGATAGCACTAACCCTCCTGGGGCGGGGGCGGGGACCGAGTCTGTGGCCATCCGTCTGTCTGTCCCTTCCGTCCTCCTCTGCCTGCCCCTTAACCCACCCCTTTTCTCCCCTCTTCCCACTAACGGGTCAGGAGACCAAGGAGATCAGCTGGGAGCAGGTAGGGGCGCGGGGCGGGGTGTGGGCGCATGAACAGTTTGTGCACGCTGCATGCTCTCCCCTCCCCCCTGAGCCCTATCCCTCCCTTCCCCATGGCCCCATTGTCCCGGGGGGGGGGGTGCCAAGCTCAGCTCTGGATTGGTTCATGTGGCACGGTAGAGGGCGAGCCTGTCCTGGTCGTGCCAGTGCAGGGCTGCTGGGGCTCCAGGAGGTGTTCCTTTCTTGTGACTAGGACAGTGCTAGCTGCCTACTTTCCCTAGAGTTGAGGGAAGGGCTTGCTGCGTGGTTCCAGTGTCGCTGGAGCCCAGGAAGAGAACTAGTTATGGTGGTGGTGAGGCAGATCAGGCAGAATTAGAAGTGGGGCAAAGAGCTATATTCTGTTCTTAAGAAAGGAGAGATGTGACCCTGAGGCGGCAGAGGAGCCATGTTGGGCCGTGGTCGTGGCTTCTAGCCAAGGGAAGCGCGGGGAGTCCTAATGGGTGTGAAAGGCTCCGGCCTGATCCAGAACTCGGTCCCGGGGCAGTGTTAGATGAGTTATCTTCAAGATACTGCAGACTGAAGCTTTATTTTGGGGCTGGGAACTACGTTGGAAGAATCCATGGACTTGTTTTGGCAGGGTAGTGACATTGGAGTGAGTTGGGACACAGTTACACTGTGTCCCACCCATCTCAGAATTTAATGCGTATGGGGCCGGGGAGATGGCTCAGTAGAATAAGTGCTTCCCTGGCAAGTTCAAGCCCTGGTTCAAAAAAAAAAAAAAAATTTAATGCATAGTTTAGTTCTCTGGGGAATTTGTGAAAATATACATACTGACTTCAGTAGACCTGGTGTTGGTCTGGGTTCTGCCAATTACATGCATGATGCTGAGGGTCCCAGGACCACGTGGAGTGCATTCTGTCACTGGGAAGGTGTACAAGACGCCTTTGGATTGGTGCACTGTGCAAAGCAGGGATTGGTCACTGTCCTGCTCTGGGGTGGGGAAAGCATGACCTTGGGTTGGGGAGTGGACTGTACTCCTTTCCTACACGCAAGGAAAGGGTCCAGAGAGGCTGACCTCCTCTACCCCCCATGGTCCCAGATCCTGGCATACGGAGACATGAACCACGAGTGGGTGGGAAACGACTGGCTGCCCAGCCTGGGGCTGCCCCAGTACCGCAGCTACTTCATGGAGTCGCTGGTGGATGCCCGAATGTTAGATCACCTTAACAAGAAGGAGCTCCGGGGCCAGCTCAAGATGGTGGACAGCTTCCACAGGTGGGGCTGCTTGGCTGGTAGGTAAGGGGGTGAGGGGCGCCCCCTAGAGAAGTGGGTGGGACTGGTGTTAGGAAATCCCTAGGATTATCTTTGGCCCTTTAGTTTGAGTTGTCAAAGAATGCACACTGGGGCTCAGTGCCTGTCTGGCAAGTGCGAGGTCCTGAGTTTGATTCCCAGTATGAGAAAAAAAAAAAAAAATCCAGACGTGGTGCACTATGCATCAAGATGGTCCATAGGAAAACTCAGACCTGGACATACTTTGGCTGGTTAACCCCATACCCGGGCCAGGTTAGCCAATAGGAGCTGCATGTTGAAAGTGCCCCGCCTCCTGGAAGGCCTCTGTAATCCCTGTTCCCTTGCTGCTCAGGGTGAGCCTACATTACGGGATCATGTGCCTGAAACGGCTCAATTATGACCGGAAAGACCTGGAGCGGAGGCGGGAAGAGAGCCAGACGCAGATCCGAGGTGAGGTGAAGAGGGCGGGCCTGGCGCAGGGGTACAGGGAAGGATGGGTGAGAAAGAGGCCACGGGAGAGGAAGGCCTGGGCACCGGGGGGAGCGAGGCTGAGCGACCTTTCCGTTTCCAGACGTGATGGTGTGGTCCAATGAGAGAGTCATGGGTTGGGTTTCCGGGCTGGGCCTGAAGGAATTCGCCACAAACCTCACGGAAAGCGGGGTGCACGGGGCGCTGCTCGCCTTGGACGAGACCTTCGACTACTCCGACCTGGCGTTGCTCCTGCAGATCCCTACGCAAAACGCGCAGGTAAGTGGCCGCCTCTGGGCCTGGGGCAGGGCTCCCAGCGCAGACTGCACGCTCTAATCTCTCTCCTGCCTCCTTGTCCAGGCCCGGCAACTCCTGGAGAAGGAATTCAGCAACCTCATCTCCTTAGGCACAGACAGGAGGCTGGACGAGGTGGGCGCTGCAGCAGCTCTGGCCCGGCTCCTGGCAGCACTTCCGGCATCCGCGCTGGGGGGCGGGGCTTGGCTGTGCAGCCCTCTACTGATTGGAGGCCGGGGTGGAGGCGAGGTTAAGGACGAAGCGCAGCCTGGAAAGGGGCGGGGTCAAGGGAAGGGGATGGAGGCTGAGCGGGGTTTGGGACCTTTACCTTCTGCCGGCTCCTCTACCTAGGACAGCGCCAAGTCCTTCAGCCGCTCCCCATCCTGGCGGAAGATGTTTCGGGAGAAGGACCTCCGAGGAGTAACCCCCGACTCTGCTGAGATGTTGCCCCCTAACTTTCGTTCGGCTGCAGCAGGAGCCCTGGGTTCACCGGGGCTCCCTCTCCGAAAGCTGCAGCCGGAAGGTAGGTAGGAGAGAGGAGGGTCCCCAAACGCGACAGCCCCTCCTCACCTCCCTTGCAGCCCCAAAGCAGGACATGGACCAAGTCTACCTTCCAGGTTCCCCTGACAAACACACCGCTCCAGGATTCCTGACTTCTTGGGGTGGATGAACTCTATACCCCAGATGAATCCACCCAAAGCCACCTTGATTGAGACCCAGGCTTTGGGGAAGGGTGAAGGAAACTAGATGTGGAGTTGAGATATCAAGAGGGGAAGCCCAAGAGGGGGTAGTTCCTGGGGCTAAGGACGAGCTCACAGCAACCCTGGGGGAAACTGGGTGTTGAGGCGCTCTATGCTGACACCCTGCTCGTTTCCCCTCCAGGGCCGACTTCCGGGAGCTCCCGGGCAGACGGCGTTTCGGTCCGGACCTATTCCTGCTAGTGTCAGCCTCCAGGTGAGGGTGAAGACCTTCCTGGGGTTCTGGGGCGCAGGGCGGCACAGTGGGTCTTCACTGTGCTCTGCACTGCCCCGTGTCTCTGCAGGGGACCTCACTCGGATGTAGGACTAGCCCAGAGCCTGGGTCCATCCCCCTGCTGTCCAGAATCTGGTCTCGCCGGGGAGAGCAGGCCGGGAGTTCCAGCCGTATACTGCACCATCTGTACAGACAGGGGGCGCCCGCGTCCCCGCCTCCCCAGTGGTGTGGACCTGGACCAAACCACGTGGACTGGACTAAGGGGGGGACAGGAGAGGGAAGGGAGAAATCCCGCACCAAACTTCCGCCTCCCATTTCTCTACTTTGTAATTTATTGACCAGTTTCCGACGGGAGACGGGTGCCCTCCACCCGCAGAACGGGGGCGGGGGTTCCCTCCCGGGCCGCATGCGGGTAAGGGCTGCCCTCCCTTTCTCCTGCCCAATCGCGGGGCCCAAGTCTTCCTTCTTCGTCCGAAAGGAGGGGAGGGGGGACTCGCTGCTACAAGCCTCGCCCCCTGTGCCACTCGGCCCCACCCCGCCGAATCCGGTCGCCTGTCCCCGGGGTCATTTGTGGGCGGGGTCCCCTGTCCCTCCCCCGTGTCTCGTGTCCCCGGGGCCTCCTCGCCCCCCCGTGCTGTGGCCATGTCCGTGCCCCAGGGGCAAGGGGCGCAGCTGCGCGCCCCCGGTCCCTTCTGGCTCCGGGGTTTGCATGGGAGAAGCCTCTTTCCACGATGCCACTGAGCGACGTGGCGTGGGAGGAGGGCAGACGGTGGGGGATCCCTTCACCCCCGGCTCTCGGTCGGCCTCCCGACCCCAGGCGTCACTCAGTGATCACGGGTAAAGAGAACTGTTTCAAAAAGCTCCCTTGTGGACTGATTTTTTGGTCAGGACCCTTCGAAAGCGAAGCCCAGGCCTATGCCTCAGCCCTATCCTCCGGGTCTGGTTCCCAGTGACCCTTTCCCCATCCTCTGATGTCCGGAGAATTGGTGCCTGCCTGACAGGTTTTGGTGAACACGTTTATTCAAGAGAAATAAATACGGCTCTAGGTAAGGGGTTAGAAGGCAGGAGGAGGGTTATCAGCACAGCCAAAGGCCTGATCAGGGTTCCGGGGTCTTCAGCATGTCCGCCAGGGCTCTGGAGAGGAGAGCGCAGAGGTTGCAGAACCTAGGTGTCGCTCCAAGATGTTTAGCGCTAATCGCCCAACCCCCTTTCACGGACGTGGACGTGGAGGCCCCGGATGCCCCTTCCATCCCCCTAAACTTAAAGCAGGACAGAGCTGCTTTCAGCAGGGCCTTAGAAGTGTCCCCACCCCGTGCACACTTACTGATACAGGGAGGACGAGAAATAGTCCATGTAGCTTCCTGTGGGAGAGCAGAGAGGAGGCTCGAGGGGAATTCCACAAACGACATTAAAGAGACACGATATAAGCGCAGGGATAGCACTAGCCCCTCACCCTTTTCCTAATTGTGCCAAGCTGAGCTCCTGAGAGGGACTCCTTTGAAGGCTGCGCCCCTTCTTGCTAAACCGGGTCCCATTATCCAGCTGTCACGTGCCTTCCAAGGCAAGTTGCTTTGGCCCCGCCCAATCACCTCAAGGCCTTCCCCTCAGCCTTCACTCAACTTAGGCATTAGTCTCAGGCCGCCCCACCCACGGCTTACAGAAGTGGCCCCGCCCCCTGGCCACTCCCCATCACTTCCAGACTGGCACTCGGGTTTGTTCTGGGCGCCCGAGCCCCTGGCTCAGGGTTTTCCCGCCTTATGCTCACCTGGAGTGCAGACTGTCTCGCAGACCAGCGGGCAGAGGTAGCAGAACTGGCAGTGCTAAGGGTGGGACAGAGGAAGAGCCTGGTCAGGGCAGTCAGGCCTGGTGTGCAGGTGGAGGTGAAGGGCAAAGTCGTAAGGGGTGTGAAGCATTAGGGAGATGCATTAGGGGACAGAGATTGGGTTAGTTTGGGGTCAGGAAGCAGGATATAGGGCTGGCCCTGGGCCATCCTGAGGCCTGGTGGAGCCTCTGGTCAGGGGAGAGGTCCCACCTGGCACTGGTCACAGTGTTCGCCCATGTTCTCCTCGTCACAATGACAGTTCTCACATTCAGTGCATCGCTGGGAATAGAGGAGCTGGTTAGATGGAAACCCTAAGCCCACTACTGGGATGAGGCTGTTTTCCACACTACCCCCTAGACCTTTTCCCAGACTCCTCACCTGCTCACTGCCAAGTATCTTTCCTGGAATCTGCACCCCTGACTCTGGCTCCCCATCTCAGGGCGACCACAGTGACCCAGCGCATCCCCTTCTGCCTGTCAGTCTCGAGTCCTTCTGACCCTGACTCTACGGTTCAACTCTCATCCTTCCCTTTTGGCATCTGCACCCCAGCCTCCTGGCCTCCAGGTGGCCCCAGAAGTATCTTTTTCATTCAGACCTGTCCCTGTCACTCCCTTGCTCAAAGAGCCTCTGGGACAAATCTTCAGGGACAGCTTGGGGGGCAGATCCAAGCTGGGGACGTACATTGCAGAAGGTGCAGTAGCCACACAGGGACCCTGGCTGGTAGTTCCCGTACTCCTGGGTGTCCTTCAGACCTGTGGGGACAGGAGGGTGGCAGTGACCCAGGCTAATGCTCCTCCTGCCCACCCCCACAGGCCGGGCCGCCTACCTGCATCCTCACTGATCTCTTCCTCGCTGGAGCCATCCACAGTCACTTCTCTCCCAGCCAGGGGGTCAGGGATAAGGGTGAGAGGGAGCTTGTCTTCCTCCAGGTCCTCCTCCTCTCTGTGAGCATGGCTCAGTGAGGCCTGAACGTCGGCTCTTTCCTCCTCTTCTTCCTCATCTTCCTCTTCTTCCTCCTCACTTGCTCTGAGGCCGTGACCTTCAGCCTCTTCTTCCTCCTCTTCCTGGTCCAGGCTGCTGCGGTGGAGCTCTTCCTCTTCCTCTTCCTGCTCTGAGCCCTCATCTTCCTCTTCAGAGCTGTGGTCTCTTTTCTGCTCTTCCTCCTCCCTGGAATCGCCCTCCCTCACACGGCTTCTAGCCCTGGCCCCTGTGTGCTCTGTGGGCTGGTGGCTGCTATCTTCTAGAACAGACCCTCTGTGACCATGGACAGTCCCTTCCTCCTGCTGGTCCTGCTGCCTGTGGCTGGGGGGCTGGAAGCCATGCTCAGCAGACATGTCCTCATCTTTCTCTCTGGAGACTCTGCTGTGTAGATGACCAGGGACCTCTGTTTTGTACTTCTCTGTGGAGTCTTCCTCCTTGTGGCCTTGGGATTGATGGCTTGCAACGTGACTGCTGAACCTGACCACAACCTCCTCTTCCTCCTCTGCCTCCTTGTCATCTCCAAGGCCATGGTGGGCATGTCTGGGAGGCTGGTGCCAGTGTTCAGTGGACACATCCTCATCTTCCTCTTTCCTGAGCCTAGGTCCTTGGTCGGGGATGTGATGGTGGTGTTCAACTGAGGTCTCTTCATCTTTTTTGTGGCCTTGGTACCCATGGGCATGGTATCTGTACTCAGTGGAGATATCCTCCTCCTCCTCATCATTATCATCACTGTCCTCCTCTTCTACGTGGCCTCGGTGTCTGTGGCTGGGGACAGGATGATGGTGCTCATCTGAGACATCCTCATCCTCTTCCATCCTGTGGCCTTGGTTCCTGTGGGTGTGGTGTCCATATTCAGTGGAGACTTCTTCTTCATCATGGTCATTGTCACCTTTCTCTTCTTTGTGGCCTCGGTGTCCGTGGGCATGGTGTCCATACTCAGTAGAGACATCCTCCTCCTCCTCCTCCTCATCATCATTTTCATCACTGTCTTCCTCTTCTTTGTGACCTTGGTGTCTGTGGCTGGGGACAGGATGGTGGTGCTCATCTGAGACATCCTCATCCTCTTCTATCCTGTGGCCTTGGTGCCTATGAGTGTAATGTCCATACTCATTGGAGACTTCTTCTTCATCACGGTCATTGTCACTTTCTTCCTCTCTTTTGTGGCCTTGGTGCCCATGGGTGTGGTGTCCGTACTCAGTAGAGACATCCTCTTCGTCATTATCACTGTCTTCCTCTTCTTTGTGGCCTCGGTGTCTGTGGCTGGGGATAGCATGAGGGTGTTCATCTGAGACATCCTCATCCTCTTCCGTCTCGTGGCCTCGGTGTCCACGGGTATGGTGTCCATACTCAGTTGAAGTATCTTCATCGTCATCATTACCATTCTCTTCCTCTTCTTTGTGGCCTTGGTGCCTGTCCTCAGAGGACACCTCCTCCTCCCTCTCTTCCTCCTCCTCTCCTTCACTATCATCTCCCCTTCTGTGGCCTCTGTGTGCATCCCTGGGGACAGACTGGTGATGCTCACTGGACAGTGCGTTGTCCTTGTGGTTGTGATCACGACTGGGGTTCCTGTGGCTGGGAAAGTAATTTCCAGGCTCAGCTGAGTCCCCAGTGTCTTCAAGGCCCTTGCCTCTGTGCCCATGGGCCTGCTCTGTGAAGACCTCCTCGGAGCCATTGTCATTTCCTGCCTGGTGGCCTTGGTACCTGTGGCCTTGGTGGTGGTGGCTATGTTCCCTTGAGATGTCTTCATCCTCATCTCCACCCCCATGGTCTTGCCACAGTCTCTGGGAACCATGTCCACTTTCCATGGAAATGTCCTCATGCTCATCTTCGTGGCCCCTGTGGCCATGGATATGGTGGCCAAACTCCGCTGACACATCTTCTGGGGGCCCAGAAAGGCCTGCATTGTTGTTCCAGTTGCTGAGGGCCAGCCCAGCGCCTCTCAGCTGCTGGGTTACTGCAGCAGGGAGGAGCAGGCTGGCCACTGCGGCCCAGAGGAGAAAAGTGTAGGGCCATGGCCCACAGTGGCCCATGGAGACGTTTGGCACCAGGCTTCTCCCAGGACTGGCTCCAGCTACCTCTGTGGCTCTGTGATGAATGCTGGGGACCTCGTCCTGGATGGGTCTGGCTCTCTGTGTCTTCCCTGCACCTTGTCGCTCTCAGTCACTGTCTGTTCACCCTCCACTGGCCCTGACACCCCTCTGAGACGGTCCCAGAGCCCCTGACCCCCTCTCAGGCCCTCCCTCCCCATTCCCTGGCCAATAGGGTCTCTCCCCTCCCCTCAGTGTGGCTAAATTTACTCTTCCCCTGAGTTATTCTGGGCCTGTCCTGCCTCCCTCCCCTCTCTGCTGGGGAGGGCTGGATGAGGGTCTCTCCTCCAGCACAGAAGGACTTGACTTTGGGCCACCAATGGGCTTATGTGTGGCAGCTGCAGCGACAAGGACTGGACTTTCAGTGGCTCAAGCTGGGGAGGCCCAGGGCCCTGGGAAGCGCGTGTGGAGAGGCCCTGCAATGGCAGGACTGAGGTGCATCCCAGGGACCTTCTGGGCGAATGAACATGGAGGCCCTGCCCCCAGTGCACAGGCCCATGACCTCCTGTCCCTGGAACTCTGAGCTGGGGGTAGGGACCAGGCCAGGCCAGGACTATTAATACAGCTGGAGCAGGGCGCAGGAGCTCAGGTTACCACGGCCCAGCTGTCCCCATCAGAGAGCAGGCACGTGACCATAACTGTGTGGCCCTGCCTGCTTGGGTCAAGAGTGGCCCACTCCTCAGCTGTTATAATTGCCCTCGCTCTCTGGGTCGCCCACTTTGTCACTTGCTTTCTCACAGTCCCTACTCCTCTTCCCCAGGATTCTGCCCCCTTCTCATCCTGGACTGTGTCCCCTGTCACTCTCAGTATTGGTCCCCTGCTTTTTCTCTATGGCTCACTGTGGTCCCTGGACCCCTAACCCTTCTTCGTCTTTGTGCCCCCTCCCCCGCTAGTGTTCCCCTCTCCCGTGGGTCTCTGTCTTCTTTCTGATTCCAGACCCCCCCCCCATCTCTCTCTAGTTCACGCATCCCCTGCGTCTCTCATCCCCGACAAGGGCCTCTGTGCCCCTGGCCCAGTCCCTTCGGTCACTTTATCCCAGGTCGGCCGCCCTCTCCCCGCCTCCCTCTGACGTCCTGGGGACTCCCCGCCCCCGCCGCCTGGGCAGTGGCGGATCCGGTTTGGTTCAGGGCGGGTGTGGCGGGGCTGCGAGGGTGAATGTGGGGAGCCCGGCGGCGGCAGCATGGTGGCCCCCGAGAAGGAGCAGGTAGGGTCGAGCTGGGGGCGGGGAGCGTCCGGGAGGAAGCCCAGGGCCGGCCGGGCTAGGAGGCAGCGCGGGTGGGGACGGGGTGGGGGCCCTGGAGGCGCAGACCGGGAAGGGCTCCTGGTCCTGGGGGGCGCCGGGTCCCTCGTCCCAGCCCCTCCTTGTTCCGGTCCCCAGAGCTGGGTCCCCAAGATCTTCAGGAAGAAGATCTGCACGACGTTCATAGTGGACCTCTCGGACCCAGGGTGAGGACTCGGCGGGTCGCGGGGAGCCCGGGGAGTGGTCACACCCACCGCAGGCGGAGTGGGGACCCCTGCGTCCGCAGCTCGTCCTTTCCACCCGGGGTCCCTGTTCTGTTTCCGTCCTTCCCCGTGTGTCTCCTACGTGTCTCTGTGTCACTTTCTCTGTGTCTCTTTGGACTGTTTTAAGACCGTTTCTCCCCCATCCCCCATCCTTCCCTCCACCCATCTGTCCATCCCTCTGTCCCTCCCTCTGTCCCTTGTCCCTCTGTCCCTCCACCGAGGACGCCCTCCGCCCTGGGCTGCTGAGAGAAGCGGCGCGGCCAGAGTTTGCGGCCGGGCAGCGGTTAACCTTCCCTGGAGACCCGAGCTGTGCGGCTCTGGGCACCCGGGCTCACCTCTCTGGGCCTCCTTAGTCATCTGCGCGGAAGGCGGCGTCCCTGCTAGGACGGCTGTGGGGATTCAAGCAATTACTGCGCGGTATTTCTGGAACAGGAGCCCAGAGGCAGCGCCTGACAAGCGGGGAGATCCAAAGGCAGCAGTCGCGCCAGTGTGCGGTGAGGTGCCCGCGGGTGGCAGGACGCCGCCTGAGGGCATACGGTGCCCCCCAGGAACAGGCCCACAGTGGTTTGGTGCTTTCTAGTTGTTTTTGAGACAGGCTTCGAGGTGTGCCAAACCGCTAGGTTCCTGATTTCAGATGTGTTTGGTTATGAAGGCTTTACTTTGGGAGGGGGCCACTGGGAAGCTGGGAGCTGAACCCAGGCCCTTTGGACTCACATATCGGGTTGTCTTTTAAACATTTTAATTTAATTCTTATTTTTTAAGTTTTGAGACTGAGTGGAAGTAGGCTGAGTTGCCGGGGCTGGGCTTGCGCTTGCGATCTTCCTGCCTCAGCCTGTCAGAGTGCTGCAATGAAAGGTGTGCGGCCCGCGGCCCAGTTAGGAAGCTGTTACCTGGCGCAGCCTGCCAGCTAGCGCAAGCACGCATACGCGCCCAGGGTGTGTGCCCAGGCAGTGTCACGGAAGTCAAGGAACTCTGTGTTGCCTAGAAAGTAGACAACCAGCATGCCATTGAAGGTCAGGGGGTGGCAGCTGCCACAGATGGGCCGGGCCCTGGGACATGTGTCCCACTGAGGCTGGGGGGAGACACAAGTGTCACTGGTGGCTTCTGGGCGGTCTGGTGAGGGGGCCTATGAAGGAAGGATGAGTTGGACGTGACAGGTGAAGAAGGCAGGACAGAGGCACATGAGAGCACTCTGGAGCAGGGGTAACATGTGGCGTGGTCCGAAACCAGTAAAGCTCGGGAAGCAAGGAGTGTTGTCACGAGAGAGGAGGATGCAGAGTTGGTGGTGTGCCATCACAGGACCTCCCAGGCCACTCTGGGTGGCTGGGATCTTGTTCTGCAGGGCTGGGGGGGTTGGGGAGGGGGCCGCAGCAGGATGAATGGGGGTTTGAGATGCCAGGAATGAGGTGGTCAAGAGTCTGAGAGAGAAGGAGGGGAGCAGGCTTGAGCTAGGTGAACACTTCGGGGACCACTGGGGAGGGACCGAGCAGAGACTCCGGTGCACAGGGTGGGACGTGTGGGCCAGTGCGTGTGGGAGGTGCAGTGAGGTCACCCCAGTGGGATGAGGATGGGTAGGTCGGCCAGCTGAGTTGTCGTGGGCCTGTGTGCATATGAAGGGCTTTGGGGTGCTGGGATGTGTGGGCTCAGGCTGGGGTAAGGGAGAGGCCGGGCTCCCAGCAGAGGCCGAGATGGCCTAACTGTCCATGGGAGTGGGAGAGATGGCACCTGTAAAATGACAGCTGGCAATCCGATGCCGCTGTGTTCCTTTCCTTTCCGCTGCAAATGGAAGCAGGGCCTTCCTCCTGAGCCCAAACTCCCTACCTATTTATTTATTTTTGGTGGAACCAGGAATTGAACTCAGGCCCTTGAGTTTGCAAGACAAGTGCTTATTCTACTGAGCTATGTCCCTGGCCTTTTTTTTTTTTTTTAAGCGGAACTGGGGATTGAACTCAGGCCCTTGCACTTGCCAGGGAAGTGCTTACTCTACTGAGCCACCTCCCCAGTCCCCCTTTTATTTTATTTTATTTTATTTTGTTTTGTTGGGACCAGGGATCAAACTCAGGACCTTGCGCTTGCCAGGCAAGCACTTACTCCACTGAGCTATCTCCCCATTCCCTTATTTTTTATTTTGAGAAAGGATCCTGCCAAATCACCTCGCTGCCCAAGCTGGGTTGGAACTTGGGATCCTCCTGCCTCAGCCTCCCAGAGTACTAGGATTACAGGCCTGTGTTACTGTGCCTGTCCTTTTTTCCCTTTATACACTGCATGGAAGAGTTTAAACACCTGTCTCGGGGCTGGGGCTGGGGCTGTAGGTGGAGTGCTTACTCAGCATGCAGGCTGTATCCTTTCAGTAACTGATTTGCCAGGCCCCCCAGGCATCAAGCTCAGGAACCAGGAAGGGAGGCTGGTGTGGCCCTCATGCTGGTGACACCTATGCTCAGGGAGGTGACAGGGAGAGAAAGCCACAGAGGCGCCTGGGACAGAGCTGCAGGGAGGGGAGCGGCCAGGGGCAGGTGCTTGTTGCCTTGGCAAGGGCCCCTGGGAATCAGAGCCCTTCAGCTGCAGCCAGGTGAAACCTGAATTGGGGCCATTGTGTGGCGGTGGCACACTGAAGGAAGGGGCAGGGCCCGGTGGAGAAGGGAGATCTGCGGGTCAGGCTGTCCGCTGCACTGGCGGATCCTCTGCCCGGATCTGGTGGGCACCCAGGGGCAACAATGTGAGGAACTGAATTTCTGTTTTGATCTCGCTCTCAATTTTTGCTTTGCTTTTTTGGAGAAGGTCTCTCTTTGTAGTCCAGGCTGGCCTTGAATTCACTTTGTAGCCCAGTCTAACCTTGAACTCATGGTAGTCCTCCTGCCTCACCCTCCTAAGTGCTGGGATTACATCCCTGTGGTGCGACGCCTAGTCTTTTTTTTTTTTTTTT